AAGGAAAGATCAGAGAAGTGGTATGTTTGACTCTAATAGTAATTGCCAAAGTGCTTTTGCAAAATATCCCCCTTCCCCCACCCCCAGTATCAGTATAAAAGTTCTTATTATTTTACTTTCTTCTCAGTCTTTGGCATTTCTAATCTTTTTAGTGCTATCTGTTCAAGAGGGAATTAATGTGCTGTATTTCAGAGTCTAGCATTAAAAGTGTAGGATCATTAGGGATTTTGTTCTATTTTGTTTTATAGTAGGGGCATCTAGGATATAAATACAGAAGGAAAATGATTTCTTGATTCCCCAAATAAAGAAAGTTAGGTTTTTTTAAATTCTATTTTAGGAAATTCAAACACTAATAAGAGATTTGAGTAAACATTTAAATTTTAATAAAAGAAAAGAAAGTTAACAGACTTATTATTTTTTGATGTTTAGAAAGGATAGTTCTATGACCTAGGTATGTATCCATGAGGCTGAGAAAAAAGAAGTTTAAATTGGAGGTGAGGATTAGAACTAAGTATATTGCATTCAGCTTCTCGTGTTTTTCTTCTTGTGTGTCTCTCTCCTCTTCTTCTTCTTCATGTCTTTCTCCTTCTTCTCTCTCCCTCCCTGCTTCTCTCCTTTCTTTCCTCCCTTCCTCATTCTTTCCCCTCTCCTTTCCTCTTTTTCTCTTTCTTTCTCCCTCTCACACACATCAAAATAAGAAGAATATGGAAAATTATGGAAAAGAACTTGTGTTTTTTTTTTCTATTTATTTGTGAAATGAAAGCATATCTTGTTGCCTTTCTCAACTACCACAACCAAGTGGCCCATCTTTGCCACAGTTCTTTGTGGCTCTGGGTGGGAAGTTCACACCATTGTGCTGATGTGGCATCTCTCTGCCCCTGAGATCTTGGTATGTTTGACACCTCTCCTGGTCTCACTTTTTGCTGAGTGAACTCCCCACAGGAAATGCACTGGAGATACATTGGTACACACATGGAGCCCTGTATTAAGGAGGGGATCTTTTCTGTCCAGTGCAGAGGGTGCAGGGAGGAAAAGTGTGGGATGGAGTGGTCAGTCCAGGGCAGTGCACCTCAAACTTAACATCTGGGGAGTCAGTTAAAATCCAAGTTCGCAGGTCCGGCCCATCTCCATGTTAATGGAATGCTTTATTTTGAAGCAAGGGTGGAGGCTCAGCTCTGGGAATTGAGAGTTCTACATTGGATGTTAACTTTGTAGATTTGTCTTTTTCTTTTTTATAACTTCAAAGTTGTTAAAATTTTGTGCTTGGTTCTTTGAAAAGTAGAAGGACAGACTGAATGCACTGGTTCCATGCGACAGGGTCAGTCAGCTCTGGGAATCTGCAGCTGCTGGTTCAGTCTGTGGACACCCAGTGAGTGTGGCATGCTGAATGGCAGGTGGTCTGAGAGAGAGAACGCTTGAGACAGGCAGATGAGCCCTGGCAGATGACTGTGGAGAGAGGAGTTACTCCCTCTTCTGGGTCATCTTCATGCGTGGTGCCTTTCCTTGGTTGACATCTCTCAGAATTCAGTGCCCCTCCTGCTCCTTGTCTCTTCTCCTCCATACACACTCACCTGTCCACCTGCTCACCTGTACACCCGCACACACATTCCTACAAAAATAAAGCCCTATACTCTGTCCCAATTCACTCCTGAAACTTAGAAACACTATCTCACTCTCTCAGGCAGTGACACTACCAGAGTTGGTGCCACTCACTAGTAACTCGTGGTACCACACCCTGCCGCAGACCTCCTCCTGTGCCAGACCATTTAGAATCTGTTGGGTTGTCTATTATCAGTCTTGATCATAGGATAGTATAAAAATATCATTGTAAACTGCTTTAATACAATATTCTTGGTGGTATTGTTAAGTGTCATCAAATCAAGTACAACTCATAGCGATCCTATGAACAACAGACCTGACCCCTGCCCTATGCTGTGCCGTCCTCACCATCTCGGACACACTTGAGCCCACTGCTGTAGTCCCTGTGTCAGTCCATTGCATTGGGGGTCTTCCTCTCTATAACTCACCCTCCACTTTTCCAAGCATGATGTTCCTTTCTAAGGAACTCTCTCTCTAGCAGCATACCCAGAGTATAAGAGTCAGAGCTTTGCCAGCTTTACCTCCAAGGAGCTGTTAGGCTGCACTTTTCTCAAGACATATCTATTTATCTTTTGACGGTCCATCGGATACTCAGTACCCTACTGTGACAACTCAAGGGCATCAGTTCTTCTATCATTCTTATTGTCCAGCTCTCAGATACATAACAGGTGATTGAAAAAGACCAGGGCTTGAATCAGGTACACCTTCATCTTCAAACTGACATCATTCCTCTTAAGTATTTTGGAAAGTAGTATTTCTCAGGTTGAATAAATACTAGCCAAATTTGCTACAAAATTAAGAATTGAGTAGAAACTATATAAAAATTTTCCTTTAATTACTTCTTCATTCTCATATGTAGTTAGTGGTACAACCTCACAAATGCTAATTAGCACAACACTGTCACTAAAACACCAGTTAGTTCAACAAGATTAGTTGCTATAAAAATACTGGCAGAAATTAAAATGACACTTTTTGTGTGCCTATCGGACATTTCAGACATCGGGCCACATGCTTTGATGCTTCATTGTAACTAGGTAATGATGACAGCTAGGCTTAGAGGATGTTCGAAAGTTTAGAAAGAAGATTAGCATCGTTGTTTTAGCCTTGTTGATGCTGATACATGTAAGGTGGGCTTATGAAAAATATTTTCTTGTTAAAACCAACTACACTACAGGGATATTTATATATAAAAAATAACAAATTTCTGCTAAAAAAACTACACAAATTTTATAGATAATTCTTTTGATGTCACTTTGTCTGAGCCCAGTGTGGTCTGTGACCCCTGCTCAACCTCCGAGTGAAGCCCCTGGGTGAAGGCTAATTATGGCACTACCAGTGAGCTGTAATCAATCTTTGTCTCGCTATCTCATCCTCTCTTTCTCACGCACACACGCTTCTTCACCTCCTCACATGTCCCACCCCACCCGGATGCCCACATCCCCATTCCTCCTGTACTCACTAATTTACAGCTCTGAAAAGGATCTCTTAAGGCAGTTTTGAGAGGTGATCAATAAAAGGAACACAATGTGATTTTTAAAATATAAGCATGAGTAAGTCTAATATACTCACCAGTTCAAGAAGTAAGCCAGGAGCTGTGATTGATTATTCGGGATCAGAATTAACAGGGTGGGTGTTTGTGGGGTGAGGCTAAGGGTATTGTCAAGCAGTGAGTTTCGCTCTGTGTTGCTCTGTGATCATTAATGCTTCTTCTGGATGTAGCAAGTAATTGGACTTTAATTCTGGCTCACTGGGCCTCTTTTTCTCTTTTAGACTTTTTCAGGTTTTAAGAGATGCACTATTTAGGGGGAGCTCTGGTGGCCTAGTGGCAAGAAGCTGCACTGCAATCCCAGAGGAACACGGTTCAAATCCACCAGACGCTCGGCCGGAGAAGGAGGCGCAATATCCTCCTGTACCAGTCAGATCTGATTTCACGGTACACGCACACAAAATTAAAAAAAAAAAAAAAGATGCACTATTTAAATGGCATTTCTTAACCTTTTGAGCATTTTCATCTCTCTTTGAGACTCCAGTGAGCCATTTGCACTTTCTACCTAGAAGTATATGTACATTTTGAGAGTGATCACAGGGTGTATGGCCTCTCTGAGGTCCAGCTCAGGACCCCAAGTAAAGAGCCTGTACCTTAATGAACACAGAGGGCTGTAGCTCGGGGCCCAAGGCCATTTCTTTGGGCACAGATCTCTGTCTCCTGTGGAGTGCCATCCGTAATGGGAACTTGGCACGTATTTAATATTGTGTGTGTGTGTGTCTGCTTTTCTGGAGGGTGTGCCTGTGGTTTTAACCGGCAAGCATATTTCAGTCAAGAGTGAAAGGAGTTAATGCATGTAAAGCACTGAGCAGCTGGCTTAGTAAGTAGTCATTTAAAATTATATTAGGACACAGTCAATTAGAGACAATCAATCTTTGTGTCTCTCTTGGCGGGTACACGTGTGTGTGGATGTACCTGTATGCACAGGAGCATTGATAGGACAGTGGTTTAGTTTTCTGTTGCTAACTGAAAGGTTGTGGTTTGAGCCCACCTGCAGCTCCATTTTTACACACACGCACGCACGCACGCACGCACGCACTCACTCACTCTCTCTTATAAATCTAGTTACCCCCATAAAATTCCTGCATGTCCAAAGGACTTTAAAAGCTAGATATTAAAAGATGGGCATCCTATCAGTTTGGATGTTTTCCCCTCTTTTTATTTTTAATGTTTTTATTGAGATGAAATTTACATAACATAAAATTAACTATTTTAAAGAGAATAATTCAGTGGCATTTAGTGCACTAATAGTGGTAGAAAACCGCCTAGTTCTTTAAAATGTCCTGGTTCTCAAATAGTTTAATCTTTAGTTTAACAGTGTCATTCACATCAGCACATTATAATACATAGAGCACCCTGTTAAGCGTTTTGGAGAATGGAAATGAATTGAACAAAGTTAAATAATCACACTCATCTGCTTCCCTTACCTGTATAGTTGTTGTTGTTGCAGTCAGCATCAAGTCAGAGCCAACATATCCCTCCAGCAAGTTTTCAGAGGCAGTAAATCCCACGGGAGGAAATTGCTTATCTTTTTTTTTTTTTATTTCCTCTGTGGTGCGGCTGGTGGATTTGAACTGAATGTCTTTGGGTTGGCAGCCTAGATCCTAGGTCACTAGAGCCCCCTACCTATAGATTAGTAAGATTATAGTAGAGTGATAACGTTAGTGAGAGATTTGGCAAAGCGGTTTTTGTTTTCTGAGACTTGTGGTGGAGGCTAAGAGTTGTGCCCCTCTCTGTGGTGTTAATGCCAGAATTCTCTCACTCAGATGAGTGGATGTTTCTTTTAAGGTCACCTTTGTCAGTATCTTTCTACCTATAACACTGAGGTCATAACCATACTCTTTCTCTCTCACAGGCCAGGGGTTATCACCATGCAGGCTTTGTCGGAAGAGGACCGAAGGCTCTGGATGGAAGCCATGGATGGCCGGGAACCTGTAAGTAACAATTCAGGGAAGTGCAGCATGAAAAAAGGTCCCAAGTTGTTTGTTGTTTCCTTAATGAAATAATAATTATTTTTTTTCTGGTGCTCTAAAGCCTTGGTTTCTTTTGGCCAATGTCCTACACGTAATGTTTTCTTATGTAGTGATTAGTGATGTTTGTGGACATTTCTATCTGTGTCTGGTTTCATATGACTCTTGAAATTGGCCTTTTGGCCCTAAGACATGGCTGCTTTGTGATAAACCACCAAACCAGTCCCTATAAATTGACTCTAACTTAGGGACCCTGCATGTGTCAGTAGAAATGTGCTCGATTGCATTTTCAGTGACCTGCTTTTCAGAAGTATATTTTTTTTAAGGTACCCCTGGATGGATTGAAATCTACTTTTTGTTTAGCAGCCAAGTACGTTAATAGCTTGCACCACCCACTAACACCATTCTACACCATACTCTCCCAGGATTTCCTATTTGTCATGGTATCAGCCCAGCCCCTAAGAAGTGGCATAGACTAGTTTGATTTTCTAGATCTTTTTATCGGCCTACACAGTGGTGTCTCCATAGGCTTCCCTCTCCATCCTATTTTATTAAGTGATCAGAAAAGTATACGTGGCTATGCAGCATCGTTTTTGTAGTCCTTTTGACCTAACCTTCCATCCCACAATAAGTAGCAGGACGTGATCAGGATATGTGAGAAAGAATGAAGGCGGGTAATGTGACCCTTGCCCCCATTTCCGAGCTGCAGGCCTCAGTTGGGTGATGTAATCTTCCCGGGGCTTTGCTGCATCTTGTGACATGTGAAACCCACATAAGTGCCCTGGGGAAGTCCACAGAGGCAGAGTAGTCCTCTTATCTTTGTGCCAGAGGTATAGACTCCACTCTTCAGCAGATCTCAAGGTTACAGAAATCCCAAGAGTACACTCTAATTATGTCTCACCAGTAAAAGGTTAAAAAGCAACCAGAATGTCAGAGAGCCGGTTAATACCACACACAGAGGCACGGGCCAGAGAGGTGAAATATGCAGAGGGGGAAGGAGCTTTGATCTGTGTGGGCTGCAGAGCTCCGTGTGACAAGCTGGGGGCATCCTGGACCTGGAGAGATGACACCCATTTGTGTGTGTCTCTTTCTTAGCTTCTCCTTGTGAGATGATCTGGTAATATTGATTCCTGCACTTTCCCGTAGCTCTTTCCCTTTTTGAAAACAAGTGTGGACTGCATGCTGAGTATGAACAAATAACTAGTTAGTCCTACTGGTGCGACAGTTAAGCGCTTAGGGGCTAACCAAAAGGTCCTTGGTTTGAGCCCACCCTATGGCTTCTTGAAGAGTTGGTAGCTTACTCTGTAGGGAGTTGCACTGCCCACCTGCATCTGCTTGTTCGAATCCACCAGCTGCTCTGTGGAAAGAAGATAGACAGTCTTCTCCCATGTGATGTAAAACGTCAGAGAACCTGTTGAAAGGTCAGCTTCAGATTTGATTCTGATTGGATGGCAGTAATTTTGAGTTTTTAATAGTTTCTTAAGAGAAGTACCTGGCCATCTGCTTTTATAAAGATTACAACCAAGAAAACCCTGTGGGCAATGCTAATTTGTCAGATCAGATGAGGTCGCTGAGCGTCGGAATCAATTTCACTGCACCCGACAAGAAGTGTTTGTACGGTACTTACTAATATAAAATAAGCTTTAAGGGGCTGTTTGAAGATAGGCAGTATGCTAACCTAGTAAACGATTGTTTAACCTTAATTCCTCTTCTGGGATATAAGGTAATCCTGGTTAATTTCCCTTTATTTATTATTATTGATAGAAATGCTTACAGAAGCAGATACATATTTCTAGCTGTAGGATTTTGTGACCACAGACACTGTTTGACCCCAGACGCCTTTGAAAGCAGCTTCTTCACTTTTTTTCCACCCATTTACTTGTAATTGAGCCTGACTGTATGTCAGGCATTGATGGGATGTGTTACATATCTGAACTCATTTATTGCTTCTGGTATCTTACATAATAGCTCATATGTAAAAAATGTTATAGTTCCATTTTACAGATAAGGAACCCGAGGCTTACAGAGGTTTAAGTGAATATTTTAGCAGGACACAGGGTAGGTTGCTGTAACAAAACAATGACAAAAGAAGATAGTTATTTCTTTCCCAGCACCCAGAGAGGCAAAGGCCTCTTAGTGTTACCCTGACATGGGCATCTCAGGGTTACCCTGACATCCGCAGCTCATGGTTTCCAAGACCAAATATACTCATATGGCCTGAATTATCTATAAAGGATAATAGGAGATTTAGACACTGCACTGCAATCACAAAGGCACGAGGTTCAAATCCACCAGCTGGTCCACAGGAGAAGAGTAATCAGTCTCCTGTGGTGTGATTAATTGCCTCCAAAACCCCGCTAGAGGGTCAGCTATGGGTCTGTTTCAACTTGATGGTATACAACAACAACAACAACAACAGCCTGGCCCACACCCAGGGCATACTATTCCTTCACTGAAGAAAAGGAAATATATTTTCATGGTTGGTAGTCTTCACCAAGAGTGGCAAAATCAGAATTTGAATCTATCTAGTTTCAGATATATGTAGTTCTTATCTTCAATTAAGAGAAAATGCCAAATTGCTGCCTCAGATTCTTTACAGTCTTTTCTCTGACTTTCTCAAATGACTGTGCAAATCACAGGGGAGGAAATGCCCAGGGAGGAAAATCCATGTCATGGTAGACTATTCTGGGCTTGTCAAAAACCCACTACAGCCTTTACCCCACTTAGCTGTGTTCTATGTAACTGCCGTTACTCTCATTTAAGCTTCCCGCCACTGCCCACCACTCCAAGGTTGTTCTCTGTCCCTATGTAATTGGCCTTCTATTTAACCACTTAAAGTTTTTTCTGTAGATTAACATCTGGCTCTGCAGATGGGGAAGTGTACTATCAAAAGATACATCTTGCTCCAGAATATACACATTTTTTTTAGATTTCTTTTTTCCCCCCTATGATTATATTTTATTAATTTTCATAAACATTTACAGAGATTTTGGGCTTCCACTCATTCATTGTTGCACTATTCTCTCTACCCTCCTCCCAGTTTGTT